GATGGTGGTTGTCTCCATACATTGCCTGTGCAGGGCTAAGAACATTGTCACAAGCCCCAGCTGGAGAAATACTCAATTCTAGTGGCAGGGTCAGAGGCAGGAATTCTCTAAATCTTGCCCAACCCCTCTGTCCTCTCCTATCCCATGAGCTTAAAGAGCCCTGCTGTGTGTCCCAAGGTCTTCAAAGGGGCATCCTGCCACCACCCCGGGGCCCCGGCTCTACATCCTGTTCCCCCAAAGTTCCAATGCTGCCTTCTCTCCCCACCACACCCACCCTGATGTGCTTCCGTGTGCATGTCTGTGTACAACCCTCCTGCCCTTCCAACTCCCCCAGTTAAAGTTTTCCTAGCAGACTTAGTGCCCAGGGGTTAGGCTAACATTTCAAGCTGGAGAGGGTAACCCTGCCCCGCAACCCGCCCACCTCCTTCTCCCCCTCCCGCCCCGCCCCCACCATCGCACACCCTTGATGCTTCTCATTTCCCCTGAGCCATCGGAGCTCCTCCTTCCCCTCCTGCAGCCTCTCCCATTTTCTTTCCTACAGCCTAGCCAGGCCTGTACCTGCCAAGGGCGTGGCCTCCACCTATGCAACATCTCCTCTGGCTCCCCTGCCCTCCTTCCCCCCGGGGGGTTCTTGGGAGGCACTGATTGTGGGGACACCACAGCCCATTTGAGTTGAGCTTTATTTTCCTGTGGAGATGGCTGAGTGGGAAGGGAGAAGAGGCCAGAGAAGAGGAAGCTTAGGCAGGTGGGAACAGCTGCCCTTTAGGATTCCCTGGGTAGCAGTGCCCACCTGCCTGCCAACACTAAACCCACTAGACCCCGAGTCTGTGCTCTTTGGGGACCTGGTGGTTAGAGCACCCCTCTTCCTCTGGATGGACATCTGTGAGCTACAGATGGTGAGCTGTGGCCTCAGGCCACAGTTCTTGGCCAGCTGGCGCCTGGATATCTTGCCCTTGTGTGTGGGCAGCTTGGCCATCTCCTGGCTCCATGGAAGGAGAAACTCAGCTCCTCCTCCATCAAGGCTGTTTCTGAGACAGATCCTGAGGTTGGAGGAGGGGAAAGGGGGATCTATTATTATTTTATCTAGTATTGACCATTTCTACCTAGGTCTTCTCACACAGACAGCCTCCCCTCCCCTCCACACACAGACTTAGAAACCAATTCTTTGGTCACTTCCTTGGTAGCTTTATTGATTGCCAGGGAAAGGAAAAACAGAAAATTAATCTCTAAAATTAAACTTTACACTGAATGTTCTTGTTTCTCTAATTAGAACCTCTGCTAGCAGCTGTGGCTATGTGCACACACACATTCACCCTCTCACCTACACATTTGCACACTGGAACTGTCAAAGGGTATCAGGCACAGACAGACTCTAGGTTGCCCAGACAGGCACACATGTGCAGTCACTCCCAAGTCCCCTTTGGTGCTCTGCTCAGCAGTTGTTTGTTGGAAGGAGTCCCCAGGGAGCAGGCACCCCTAGGCTGTGATTGCAGCCCATGACCAACCCTTTGGAAACCCAGATCTGGATGTTCCGGGCCCCTGAGCCTGAGGAGGATGGGAAATGGGGCTCTTCCTGAATCCATCAGTCAGGTCCTCTCGTGGCCCTATGGGTCGACGTGATTCCTGCGGATGGGACTCCAGGGTGAGCAGCCACAGAGTGACAGGGATTCATGGAGAGTACTTGGAAGGCTCCATGTGTCCTGGGGACAAGGGCTTGTGGAGTGGGCTGGGCCTGGCTGGGGAGAAGACAGGTCTCTGTCAATTGGGTGCATCACACTGTGGCCTTTCTGTCGTGGATTTCCAAGCGCAAAGATTGTACAAATCAAATCAGTGGATAATAAAGTTGTGGATGACTCACTGACTTCCCTTTTCAGTGTAGCACTTCCCTCGCCATCTACTCCTCCCATGAGAAGCTCTCTGGGGAGGCCACTAGGTCTGAGCCCTTCCTATCACCTCTGTTCCCCTCTTCCCAGGTTGAGGGGGAGAATTAGGGGATGGCATGGCCTGTAGAACTGGGTCACTTAAGCAGAGTCAAGTAATAAAGGTGGCATCTGCAGGGGTGGGGGTGGAAGAGCCACACAAAGCTCTGCTGGTGTGCGTGTGCATGTGCGCGCGCGCGCGTGTGTGTGTGTGTGTGTTTGAGGTCAAGAGGTCAAGGATCTGTTCAGTAGAGAGGAAGATGGTGGGGAGAGATACCAGGGAGATGGGTGACCCTGTGGGAGAGTCTGGGCAGGCACACCCCCTCAGAGTCCTCTCTGCCTTTCCCTATATCTGGAAGAAGTCAGTCATTTCAGGGAGACCCTCCATGGGTAGGGGGCTGGGTCCTACTTCATACCCCTTCTCCCACTATGCTAGGCCACTCCCCCTCCTCAAATTTTATCAACACAACCCTTGATCACACCCTGAGGATCTTCATGGACTTCTCCTTCCCTTCCCTCTGGACCTGTGTGACACTCTGCAGCAGGCATGGTGGGGGCATGAAATAAGGGGCTGGTACAATGACCCAGATCTAGGCCTAGCCCTGTCCCTTATCCTATCCCACAGGGTTCTCAGGTCCCTTGGCAATGAGTGGTGACATGAAGTGGCTGGGATTCAAGGCCCGCTGGCGGGCTGCTTCACGGTTGGCACAGAGAGCCTGGCCAATAAGGTACTCGCTCTCCTGTGCTACATCAGACAGGCGCAAGTCGAACTCCAGGAGGGTCCTGTTGTCTGACATGCCTTCCAAGAGCTGCTTCCCACCGTCCTGCAAGAAGAGTACAAGAGAAGGGGTCATTTTACATCACTACCCAGGATCACACACACACACACACACACACACACACACACACACACACACATGTATACACACATACACATTTATATATAGATGTGACTGGAACAAAAGTTTTGCAAACTACTAACTACATAACCAATTTGAGCAGCACACTGGCATTTTATATTCTATTCTGTCCTATCTCGTTCTATCCTATTCCACAAGAAAAATGGTGCTCAAGAATCACTAAATTGATTTTTCAATTGCAATAGTTTGAAAAACATGGTTCTATGGCAATGCCGCTATTTCCATTCCTCTTGTTCAGTCATGGGCATGTGAGACAAACCTGGCTAATGAGATATGAAGAGAAGTTTGGAGGAAATGGCTTTCGGGAAAGTTCTCCTCATTCTGAAAAGATAATGAAAGAGGAGGTGCTTTGTCTTCTTCTGTCTCTGAGCATGGCCCTATGCGAGCTGCAGCAGCCATCTTTGGATCACATGAGGAGTACCAGAGAGCCCATGGGCACGTGGCTGGGCTGGGCAGCATAGAGGCTGGCATTGAGTCAAGGAATTTTCCAACCCGAGAACCTCCTACCTTAGGGCTTCTGGTTATGGGATATAATGAATATTTCTCTCGTTCAAGCCGTTTCCTGGCTAAGCTTTCTGTTCCTTGTAGCCAAGATCACTCTCCCTGGAATTGTGTGTGAGCAAGACTGTTCTCTGGGGAGATTTGGTAGAAGGTGCAGGGCCCTAACCGAAGTATACAGAGGGCCCACCTCACTATTCTTCATAGCTTCAGCCCCTTTTGGGTTGGATGGGCCAGGCCAATGTGAAAGAATTTCATATTGGGAGGCAGAATGCTGCTATTATATGGTTGTGACCCAATAATGTGTTGCAAAGTCAATGTAATACAAATGAATTAAAAAAAATAATAAAGTAAAATATAAAGGAAAACATCAGCATATATGACAATCAGTAAACATAAATTTCAATTATATCGATGTACATGTTCACTAGGTGTTCATGTAAAATGCATTTCTTACTTTGAGACTTGATCAAAAAAATTTGAGAGACATTATCTGTTGGAAAGGACCCAACCTTTTTATCAGTCCTGGGTTTGAATCATAGCTCTGCTACTTTCTACTGACTGAATGCTCTCGGGCAACTCACTAACCTCCCTGAGGCTCAATTTTCCAGCTGTAATGTGGAGTTAAGAATACACATTTTACTAGATAACTGTGAGAATTAAAGGAAAACTAATGGATATTAGGTGCTTAGCATAGCACATAACCCTGAGTAATAGTAACAGCTAGCAATTACTGAGGATCTAGCCAGTGCCCACAATGGTTAATTGTTTTACAAGTATAACTCATTTAATCCTTCCAATAACAACACTTAGAAGTAGATACTATTATTATCCCCATTTTACAGATGAGAAAATGGAGGCCCCAAAAGGTTAAGTAACTTAACCAAATCCTATATGGCAAAGCTGGGATTCGAACCAGGTAGTCTGTGATCTTAACAATCACCCTGTAAGTAGCCCATGACAGTTGGATTCCAGCCCCACACCCAAAGCCCCAGGGCCTCTCTTGGCCTCGTCTGCCCCAGAAGCTGCAGCTCACCAGTCCTATGTGGTTGCAGGACAGGTTGATGCTGGTGAGCGTGGTGTTGACGGACAGCACCTGGGAGAGCAGTGTGGCCGTAGGTTCAGACAACTCATTGCCACCAAGGTGCAGTGTGGTGAGGCACTTGTTGGTCTGCAAGGCATGAGCAAGTGCTTGGCCACCCTCATCCTCAATGCAGTTGAGGCGCAGGTTGAGGGAAAGGAGGTTGGTGTTGTGTGCCAGGGCGTGAGCCAGCGACTGTGCACCAGGTGCACGCACCTGGTTGTTGGCCAGGTTGAGCACACGCAGGCGACTGTGGCTCATCAGCTTGGCAGCAGCACGCACACCACGGTCCCCAATGAGATTGTGCGACAGGTCCAGCTCCTCGAGTGCTGGGTGGTCCAGGAGGCTGCGAATTAGGATGCGTGCCTTATCATCATCCACCTTGCTGCGGGTCAGCCTGAAGATCTGTGGGCAGGTAAAGGTCTATAGCACCTGGCAGCCAGCGATAACCTGCCTGCCTACCTACCTTCTGCAGGCAGAGAAGGGAACCACAGGGGAGGCCTGAGCTTCTGTTCACCTTGTGTTGGCCACCTGGATGGCTCTTGGGCAGGCTAACCTAGCATGGCAGAGTGATGCAGAATTGGTGGCACATAGTAGGGGAAAAGGCTACATTTCTCAAGAAATTACTATGTGCTGGGCATGCTGCTAGAATATTTTATAACCATTATCTCTCACCCTCAGCATACCAGTGAGGTAGAATGAGTCCTTTCTATTTCATGGATGGAAAATGAAGGCTTAGGGTGGGCACATCATTCACCCAGATTCACACTGTGATTAAGCAGTGGAGGTCAGTTTTGAATCCAGATCTGCAGCCCCTCACTGCACCCTCCTCAGCTGGCTAAGATCCATCATCTCAAGGAGAGGAACTTTTTGAAGGAGATTGACAGGGTAAGAACCAGAGAGAAAACGGAAAGGGTGAGAACCAGGAAATGGATGGGATGGAAAAAAAGGAAGTGGGGGGAGGACTAGCATTGTG